TCAAAAAATCAGTTATGAAGAAAATAAAAAATGCCGGATATTAGCTTGGTAACACCAAGACTAATGTCTAGTCAGGCACCTGTGCTCCTTGCTTGTGCTGCGGTTACACCCCAGCGGATCTGATTTTTCCCGTCCCAGGCTTCGCTTATATTGAGTCTTTTTGACTCCTCTCAAGCGCCTTAAAGACGCTGCCCAGCGGCTACTAAACCAACTACGGGGTTTCCCCTACCCCGACTACTAGCGCGTAAATTTGAAATATAATCTAAAGATTGTCTTATTAATAAAGCCTTTTATTATTTTCTCACACATACAAACATTATCTTAAAATTACGTATCAAATTTAAACATTTAAAAAAAAACATCCTTACAGAAAAACATTAAAAAAAATAAAAAACATAGGCTACAACTCCCCCCTTACTTAATAAAAATAATCGTTAATTATTTTTTCCTCTGACCATCCCGGTCCACGTGGTCGTCGTCATTTGGCAGTTCCAGTAGTGGTGGTGTTGGGGCCCTGGATGTTGACGGGATACAGAGCAGTGGTGGGGACTTGGACTTTTTAATGGTTTCAATATTTCTAATAATGGTCCGGTTATTACTGGTAGCAGACGTTTCCAAAGCCTCTTCTTCCTCCACCAAGGTTCAGGATCTAGGATTGGAGCTTCCCTTATCCAACGTGGCCACCTCCTGCAAGGTGCCTTATTCTTGTTTTCATTGGATCAGCTCTCACCATGTATATAGTCTCACTGCCTTCCGGTCCCCTGACAGTTCCCCTTGGATCTCTTTGATGGAACGGCCCCGATCGCAACATTCGCTGCCACTGGTGGTCTATACAGTAGAGTATATACTCCCCGGCTGCACATCTGGCTCGGTTCCATCCTTGCTTTTCTTATCTGGTGGTGTCTCTAGTGTTTTTTCTTCCTTTGACTTCGAGTCTACCCCTTTCTTTTCCTCGGGGCTAGCTAGTTTTGTTCTTGAAATACCCCGGATGCCTTTTTATTTTCTTGAGTAAGACGTTCTTCGGCTCGTATATTTTCCAGATAATCCTGGAGTAGCTCCTGTTGCGTCATCCATAATTCATCTAGTTCGACGGACTCATCACTACCACTGAAAAGTCCTGATCTTCCGCTCGTTGGTGACAGTTTTATCTTGTCTTCTTTTAGAGTTTTAACTGGGCCTAGTCCAGCTGTTGCCTCACCCCCTGTAGTTGCCATTTTAATATTCTTTGCCACTTATTTCCGTGGCTCGTTTTTCAGTTGGTGATGGCTGCGTCGTGGCGAGTTCCCTTTCTCGTTTCTTTTCGTGCCGATTCTCCTTCTCGAATACCTTCTTTATGAAGGGTCGCTCCCTCGGTCTCTTTTTGTTTTTAGTGATGGTGGCCCGCTTCCGCATCCTCTCCAGCTCTCTAGTTACTCCAAGGATTAATATCTTTAATGTGTACTTTACTAGTTCGTCCGTTAGCGTCGCTAACCTCGACGATTTTCCTACCGATAATTCTAACTATAGTGTATGGCCCACTATACTTTGGCGTTAATTTAGCTGAGAATGCATCGGCCGTTGAAGACAACTGATGCTATTTTTTACTAATCAAATCTCCAACAAAAGGAGTCCAGTCTCTACGTCTAGCATTATAATATTTAGCTTGTCTTTTAAAAGCTTTATGCAGGTTACTTTTAACTAGTTCATAAGTTTTACTTAACCGATTGCTCATATCATTACGAGATGGCGTTGCTGAGCTATTGCTCGTAGCGCTCCATATTGTATTAGGGGGTTCAGTCTCCCTTCCATAATTAGGGAAAGCGGGTGTAAAACCAGTACTATCGTGTTCAGTTGAGTTGTATGCGAACATTAATTCCGGTAAATATCGATCCCAAGATCGTTGTGTATCTTTAATGAATTGCGCAATCATGGTTCTCATAACGCGATTAGTTCTTTCCACAGGATTACATTGCGGCGAATAAGGTGGAGTACGGAAATGTTCTATGCAAATATTTTGGAGCAATTTTGTGAACTCTTTACTCACAAATTGAGTCCCATTGTCGGTAATTATTCTTTTAGGACAACCAAATCTCAAGATAACTCTTTCTTTGAAGTGTTTAGCAACTATTTCAGTCTTCTGTTGTCTTATCGGTTGTATTTTAACCCATTTCGTGAACTTGTCTTGCATTACTACTGCGTAACTATGACCGTTTGATGATCTTGCCATTGGTCCTATAATATCGGCAGAGACGACTTCCCAAGGTTGATTTGCCTTGACAGTACCCATTACCGGGTGTTTGTCTATTAGGTCCTTTGAACTGTTGACAAACAGTACAAGCTCTAACAAATGTTAGTGTATCTGGTTTTATTCTCGGTCAGTAATATCGTCTACAAATTCGTTTTATTGTCTTGTTCATACCAAGATGACCGGCTGTAGGTTCATCATGGTTTTCTCTTAGGACTTGTAATATTAACTCCTTTGGTATACAGAGTTTCCAATCTTCACCCTTTTCCTTCAGGTTATGTATTGGGGGAATATGCTCATATAAATGACCATTATTCATGACATAATCTGAACATCTTTTGGGAAATTCAGTAACTAATTTGACTATTTTAATATACCACGGGTCTTCGGTTGTGATTTCTAGGGTGGATAATGTCTCTTACGATAGATCATCCGGTTCGTGAGATGAAGAATCTTCAACTGCATTTCTAGACAGTGCATCTGCGACTCTATTATATGCGCCTTTCCGATAAACTATATCAAATTCAAATTGCTGAAGATAAACACTCCAACGTAAGTGTATTCGGTATCTTATTTTCCCTGATTATCAATCCCAAAGATGAATCTTTCACAAAATCATCAATAATTAATTCAGAAATCCACTTTTAGATTAGGTACTAAGAGGTTAGGTACTAGAGATTAGGTGCGGGTCTCTAGTCTCTACTCTCTAACGCTAGATCTTGGTATTGAGCGTACATCCGGTAGTAATCAATCTCATCACACAAAGTGGCACACAAGTTATTAGGCACAAATTTCTGTACAACCTCCGCCGTCCCTCTTACGGCCTAAATTGGCATCACTGCCACCGGTAGAATGTACCTTTTGTTTTTGATTGTGACGATAATTTCAGCCACACCCGCCATATTCACTTCTCTATCATCAGCTACAGTAGCAAACATTATCTTAAAATTACATATCAAATTTAAACATTTAAAAACAAACATCCTTACAGAAAAACATTAAAAAAAATAAAAAACATAGGCTACAATGTGTATTTTTAATACACATCTGTAAGGACTCCAAACTATTCCTCTTTATTTTATTACTCTTTTTAATATATGACCTTAAGTACTTGGATCAGTCAAAGGACTTTTTGATTTATTCAATATTATGCTACATACTGTAGACAACTGTAAATATGAACAAAGAAGCGAGGATTGGTTGTTTTTACTGTAGAGTAATGTTTAAGAACATTTTTTAGTTAGTCTTAGAATAGTCTCTGAAGGATACAGATGAACTTCTCAGCACAATCCGCTATCGTTAAATAAAGTATCCATATATTTTTTTCTAAACTACACAACAAATTCAGTCTATATTGAATTAATATTCCTTGACCATAATCCTGAATTTCCAACGGAAAATTTTTAAAGCAAAATAAAATTGTTGTGTTCCAACGAGATTTAATTCAAATAATTTCAATTTACAAAACAGTTTTGAGCTAACTTAAATTATTCGTTATTTATTGTTGAATATAAGTTTAAAGTAAAATAATTTAAAAGATAATGTTGAAATGTGATGAAGGGAGATTTCGAATACACTTGTCAGAGGATGAATGGTGAGTGATCTGCTTTTTAGGGAAAAGTGATGGTCATATTTATTTCAGTGCATGGTGTACATTATGTACTATGGTCGACGGTAGGGCGAAGGTTCCTACGTGAGAATTCGGGCATTGAGTCAATGACTTTAGTTTTATTACAGTTCTATGAAAAGTCATAAATTGAAGAATTTAGAAATTTTTAGTGAGAATTCGAAAGTTTAATAATTAAATTTTAAGAATCAGTGAATTTTATTTCTCCATTAATAATAGTTTTGTTCTAATAATATTATTATTAACACTAGTTGACCCATGCGAATATTTCGCAATGTTGTGGTTTAATATGATTTAAAAATAAAAAAATGGATGAGTTCTTGATGTTCTAAAAATTATTATGTTTGTTTGAAAAAAATTAAACAAAAAATATTAAAAAAAGTAGGTACAGGTTTTGACAATTATTTTTTTCAATTTTTTTGCCTAAAGTGAAGAACATAAGCTTTGAAATGATGTATGAATTATTCATTTCGGTTATTTATTTATAAAGATCTACGCTTTCTAGGAAACATCGCTTATTAGAAATAATTATTCTTATATAATTTTTTTTTTTACGGAAAAAAGATTCATTGAAATATTTTAAGGATATTCGAAATCAATTAATCCAATTAAAATAAATAATTTTTACCGTCACCCTGCAGTGTCACCAAATTACCATAAAATTTGGGGTAATTCTTATTATGCATTTCTCTGCGTGTACCTTCAATTTTTTCAATTTATGTAAAGTTAATTTTTTACAACAGTAATTAAAACATTTACTATAAAAAATTTTTAAAAAATAAAATCAAATTTTCAGTTAATTTAATTTATTAAAAAGTAAATCACAAATTGTTTCCTGAAATTGTTTATTTAGTAAAAAAAATATCGAGTAATAAAGTAAATTTTAAAAGAACACAGAGCAAGACGCTTTAAAATGGAAACGAGGATCTCAATCCAATTTCCTTATCATTCGTCACTCAAAGACTGATGTGTTTAAGAGAGAAGCTGAAGAGAAATAAAGCAGATAAAAAGAATGTGTCTATGCGTCGGATAAATAACAAGACACTACTGCTACCCTGTCACGTATTCTGAAAGCTCTCATTTGTCTCTCAAGGTCTGTTCGTCACTGGCTTGATGCTATATGATTGATCATTTTTTGTCTGTTTTTAGACTAGGTTTTCCAGGTCGACCCTGTCTTCTTCGGACTATCTGCGAGACTACTCATTGGTCACTTCATCCTCACAATGGACTTATTGGAGACCTTTTGCGAATTTTATTCACGTAAGTGAATTATCCGTTTCCTTTGTCCCAATAGCTCGAAATTAAATGAAACGAATTAGCACAAAATGAAAGATAGAAATGAGAGAAGGAAAAAGGGGTGAGATGGAAGACTAGATAGACTACGAAGAGAGGTCACAAAGTATATATGCAAATCTAAAATCGATTCTTTGTGACAAAAGAATGAATTTTAGTCGTCAGGTGAGCGGTAGATGAATAAAATTGGCCTGGTTTAGTAAACTAAATGGCTGGCAATGATACTCTAAAAGCGGATTTCCTGTATGGATTTTTTCATCAATAAATAAATTTGCGACAGATACGGTATCTTTTCCTTTCAAGAATTTCACTGAAATTAGTTTAAATTCATTGAGAAACATCGAGAAAATATAATTCCCAGTACATTTAAAACACAGTGGAAATAAATGAAATAAATATTTCTTTCAAAAGTAATAAAAAATTGTGTATGATAATAATATTTGATTTAGTTTATTGACAAAATTTTAATTTTAGTTTATACTGAGAAACGAATTTCTTATGAATAAACATTTTTTTCAATAATTAAAATCGAAATTCTGAATAGTCGTAATAGAATAGTTTATTGTCTAACATTTTTATCTGTCTGGTTTGTTTTAAATAGAATCATCTAGAGTTTTGGTTTATTACGATTTGTTTTTTTAAGACGCTATTAAAGACGACAAATTAGCCAAAATTTTGAACACCATTTTTGGGCACATAATAAATTTATATTTAAACCATTCGAGTATCATTCGATTTATAATTGAATTTTAAATCTTTAATTATTACATATATTTTACTCTTCTTATAAGAAGAGTAAAATTTATATTAGAACAGTCCCTCACGGTTTTTGGAAAACTGAGACAAAACTGTAAAATTACTGGACATATGTTGGAATAATAAGATTTTTTCATAGTAAATTCGTGCAATTTTTTCACCAGTTTTTTTTGTAAAATATACAATAAAAAATTGGTTTTTTACCGGAAAATCTGAACTTTTTTAAGGGAAAACAATTTGATACTCGAAAAGAAAGTTGATACTTCTGCAGAAGTGACTTAAGTACTACTAGGGTTTAAATAAATATATGATCATTACAAACACATTTTATTGTTATTAATGAAAAACATCTAATATTGATGAACATAATTTTTCAACATTTGGTCAAGAAAATATGGAATTATGTTGGTTGAAAAATTGCACAATTAAATTGTATTTATACAGTAAAGATCTATTACCGATAATATACCGTAATTTTACTGGAAAAAATTCGGTTCTTCAAATTTGTGTGAAGTGTAATTTTCACACTAGCGTAGGGTAAAAATTACTCTTTCTTGAGGCAAAAAATCTATCAGGGTCATTGTGTCCCACGATCACTCTACTGTAGGATAAATTTATTCTATTTTGCAATTTTTCGATAGTCCCCACATATCAAAAAGCCTAGAAATAATTTTTATAAATAATTTACATCCAATTATATTTTTTTCTGATAGATGTAGTCAAATTCACAAGTGTATTCTACACCGTTGTCCAATTTCAAAACCCAGTAAGTGACAAAAATAGAATTTGTCAGAAAATCGATAGAACGTATTTTAGTTTAATCGTATTGAATGGAAATTTTTAATAAACCATTAATAATCAATTATTGTAAAATGCTAATATAACAGTATTCACCATAAAAAAAAGATTTTATCCATTTACAGTAAATGTAATTTAAATAATCCATTTTTAAAGAAAACTGTCGGACTTAATTTTCAAATAAAACAGAAATTGTACTGAAAATCCTGTAAACTGTTAGATTTGCTAGTTTGATTTTAGGTCCATTATTTCATCTAACCCTAGTAAAGAAATAAATACTGATACTCATAAGAATTTCGTAAGAATCATATCTGAAATTGGCCACCCGAGGCGTAAAAATTGAACTTATTTTGATTTCATTCACCCTGCTTCAACATTTAATTTCAGTTTGAAATTATGAACCTGCAGGTAACAGTATAAAAATCGTACATGAAAAATTTTTCTATCTGAATTTTATATGATCACCCCGAGTCAGAATTTTACTCTTATTTTGCCGCTGAGCCCCCTTCATAATTCCCGATTCAGCACCTTCAACGGCATAATATTTCAAACAAACTCAGGGGCTTCAGCAGGAAATATATTTCAAGGGGTTTAACGTAAAAAAAAATTCAGGAGGTTCAGTGGGAAATAGAGAAAAATCGTTGGTGTTCCCGGCGGTCACCTATCCAAGTTCTGCACACGAGAAATTTTGCTTAACGTCGAGAGATCGAGTCCAGATCCCTGCATCCACTGCGCTGCGTCGAATTTATGAATTTCTTACTTATTTAAATCAACAATAATTAATATTATAAATGAAATACTATTAATAGTAACTCCATCTTATAATGAAAAATTAATTAAAATATACATAATAATTAAAAAAATATTTAAAAGTTGCAATTAATAATTACTGATTATTGAAAGTAACTTAAAAATTTTAAATAAAGTATAGTAAGCCGGTTCAGCGACAAAAATAAATTTTTTCAGGGGGTTCAGTGGAAAAATATAGATTTTCAGGGTGTTCAGCAGCAAAATAATAGTAAAATTCTGACTCGGATTTATTTAAAATAAAAATTTTTGTTTTCATCCAGAATATGTACGCGTTTTCCATAAATATTATGAATTTATTAATGAAATCTATATCATTAAATTAGTATATAATTTTTTCCCGCTGATGCTCCTGACCTTCAGGAGGTTCAGCGGCAAAATAAGAGTACAATTCTGACTCGGGTATCTGAGTTTTCGTACTCCAAGTAACTGTCAAATTCAAATGTAAAGTAATTTGGAGATGGGCGAGGCCCATCAATACTTTGTACCAATGTATGAGTGTGAAGATCGTCCTTAGAGTAATTCAATAGTTTTGTAATTAATCATTCTGAAAGATAAAGTCGCTGTGTAAACACGAAAGCTGTTGATTAGCTATTAGTCTATTAAGTAACTGTAATTTTCATTTTTTGTCAATCAATATATTTCACTTGTTAATATTACGCGTGTGCTCTCAAGTTTGCTAAACGCCTTATTTAACTATTTCTTTGCCTTCTACGATAAACCTAACGAGATAAAAAAATTTTGTATATATGATTTTTATACTGGTCATGTACGATTCTTATAATTTTTCTATCCGGCCAATTTCAGATATAATTCTTATAAGATTTAATATTTACTTTTTTACTAGGGAAGGGAGTCCTAAAATATTGTAAAATAAATCCAAATAATAACTTCAGAAAATGAATAAGTAATGAAAAAGTTTATTAAAGATTGACAGCTATTAATTAATCAAAGAGAAGGCGTCCGGTCAATTCAAGTCTCAGTCAAAAACTGGAGACAAACAATCTCTCCCCTCGTTACTATAAACATTCTAATCGTCAAGCAACGTCAACAACTTATAAAACTGTCGTTAGTCTATTAGTCATTAGATGGCGACATGCGAATATTTTACAATATTAATAAAACTACTAAAATCATCATTTTTAAAATCGATAAATCCATAGATCCTAGCAGGGTTGCACAATCGGTAATTTCATGTGCACCAGTCCTACACAAGCCCATAATTACAGAGTCAAAAATAAATAAATACAGTCAAAGTATTTGAACTAAATTTCAAAGGTAGGCAAGATAAAAGCATGTTCATTTGATGAGTAAATAATGATTGTATTTATTTATCTATCGGAAATGACATTGAGTTAATTCAGACACGAATTGAACGTTAGAATCAGACAGGAGTGAAAGGGCAGATAGATTGCGGAATATTGAGCAGGGGTATGCAAATCTAGGATCGATTGAGTAGGGTGTTGGGATGAATTTGTGTAAAAGGGTTAGTGGGAGAGAAATAGAGGTAGACAAAATTGGTCTTGTCTAGTGAAGCGTAGTGGGGATCATTGGGTGGTTGCGTATCAATTCAAGTAATCGATTGTAAGCTATTTACATCCAAGGGATGATGTAGGTATGTCTCGAGGCGTAAATTCAACCGTGACAATTCCACAGGCCATCTTCGTCACTTGATGAGAAGCTGCCGGCCGAGTACACGAAAGCCGAACGTTCATTGGGCTCACTAGATGACTGTGGTACAACTTATCCTCTTTGTCCTATCACAATTTATGATTACATAACATCAGAACTGAGTATGTAGAAGCTTCAGTGATCAGATATGCTCTTGACGCCTAATGCAATGCTGATGAGAATGCTATCTGATCCTACGACGATATGCTGTCAACTCTTGCTGCTGCTGATGACATGGAAAGCACGAGAAAACTCTTAACATTGCCTCCAGCACGTTCTGGAAATGGAATAATTCAGAACACCTCTCACCATATTGTTTGTACGCTCTGCTGCTGTTTCTTGGACTTTGATTTACTTGCGCAATCTCAAGAGTCGTTTGGCCAAACCTTCAAGACACGCTCAAGTTCTTAACGTTACCACGAAAATTCCCAGGATGTACTGCTTTCTATTTGAAACAAGAGGACTTGGAAATATTTTTCTCGAGCTTGCTACTGTTGGCAGATGATTCATTTATATATATACATTCTCTGCATTAATTTCAGTGTTGTTACTTTCAATAAAAACAGTTGTTTTCAATGACTTTTTTAGTTTTAGTTGAAAGATAATGAATTATTGATAGCACAAGAGAAGTAATAAATATTTTTATTTCTTTGCAAAGTTTTATTTTGAATAGCACCAATAAATCATACTTAAAGTAGTCCAATAATTCTTCACTATTTCTAGATTGAAATAACAATTTGACTTAAGATAAAGGATAACATGTTGTGTTTTTGCTAATCATTTATCATAACAAGAATTGTAATAACTTTGGTAATTAATAAAAATATAAAAATGGTGAAAAATATTCTTTCATTTTAGATCATCTAGATGTTAGCTAACATGAGTCAATGTATATCTATATGACCAACTCGTACTCACATCTATCAATCTAATATCACTACTGTGATCAGAATAGATTGTTAACTGTGAAATCGAATAGTAGATGAACGAGAGCTTTTGAAAAATCCTTTTACTGTTAAATCAATCTGGATATCTCAAATCAGTTTGAGAGCGTTGATCAAATGATAGAGAGCTTACACTCGACGTTGAATTTTACACGAGGATTCCAATCAAATCCAAGAGCCCCACGGGACAATTCTGATGGTATTTCGTACAACTTGCAGTTTGTCCGATTAGTTCAGCCTCGACAATATCCTGCGGTAGATCCTCTGGTTGGGAAGTCGACGGTCTGGAAAGTGTCTCCGTGAGAATTAATGAATTACTAATTAACAATACAAAGAGAAGAGATCGAAATAAAACAGACTATTTGAGGTAAAATGTCTCTTCTGCTGTTTAGTGCAAAATAAATAAATAAAAAAACAATTTATTGCGATCCTTGCAAGTACAAATAACTTTTTTGGTCACCAAAAACCATGTTCAAGTGAAAATCTATCTCCTTTAAAAGTTTGTTTTATTAGATTTTTGTTTTGAAAATAAATTTAGTGAATATTTGTTTCACCTTTTTTTAGCTGCAAGTGAAAAATGTGGATTTTTAGAATTAATTAATTTTTTAAAGTCATGAAATGGTAATGAGGTATTGGGTTAATTGGATCTTAAAATTATTCTTTAATTTGATATCAAATCAGTTCTTAAGTATCAGTTTTATTGATGCTTCTACGAATCTGACTAATGAAATTTAATTGGAACAAACCGTAGGGTGGGTGTGATTTTGGAGATCAACGTTATCAACTTTCCAGTATGTTAAACAAAATCCTAGTGTAAGAGTATATTTTCTACACATTTATCCCGCTTGTCATCTTACTCAGGATAATAAATTTAAGGGAGATGTAAACAGGAAATTGGGTCTTTGATTTTATATAATAACACGTGGATCAATAATCTATATTTGTTTATAGTAATGATTTATTTCCCATGATGGCTAACAGGGCCAGAGGAGTATAAAGAAATGGGACTAAGGCTCAGTCTCCTGCAAGCTAGTGAAGTTATCACATATTACTTGTTTTAGTTATTAATAAGTTTTGGCTAGTACTAATATATTATTAACTTTTAAATATGTCTTAATAATAAACTATGTTCATGCTGAGCATTATTACTGAATAAATTCTATGTGTAAAATTTAATAAACTCATATATCCATTAAATCTTGATGTATTCTATAGTAGTCATAATCATTTGCTTCCCGAGTAAAAATAATCAGTTTTTAGGCGCGCCTAAAGGAGACCCAATTCGAGCTCAAATGATTTTTCAGGCTCTCAACGCGCCCAAATCAGGCCTACAACTATTTTGCTGGCCTAGAACACGCCCAATTGAAGCCCAAAAATATTTTCGAAGCCTAAAACGCGCCCAATTCAAGTCTATTTTCTAAGATCATATTCGACAATGATGACAATAAATTATTACAAATGTAAATTTGTAGCACCGAAAGTTAATTTGATGATAAGTTTTTCTGAGAATTTTTTTTTCTTTTCTAGATTTTTAAAATATTTTTGGGCTTGGATTGGGCGCCTGCAAAACAGTTTTAGGCCTGATTTGGGCGCGTTTTAGGCCTAGAAAATATTTTTGGGCTTCAATTGGGCTCCTACAGAATTTAGGCCTGTAATGGGCTTGTTTTGGGCACTGAAAATTTCTCTAAGTCAAGATTGGGCTTCAATCGGGCCTGTATTGAGCTTATTTTTCATTTTAGGCATGTTTTGGGCTTCTTTTGGGCCTATTTATATTTACTCTTGTTATTATCAAAAATATCAAACAAATAGTTAATAAGTTAAGGTAATGTCTATAGGATTGCATCTTTTATGAAATATAATTTAATTGTCTGAGTTAATATGGATATTAGTTAGGCTATTTTTTAAATTATTGTTGGATTCTCTGAACAAAAATGAATCTCAATTTATTCTTTATTTATATAACAACTTATAAGTAATTAGTTTTAAGTTTAGGAAATATTAGAAAACCTAAATATTTACCAATATTAATAATAATATTATTAAAACAAAACTGTTATTAATACAAAAAGAATTTACTGACAATTAAAATAAAATTATTAAACTTTCTAATTCTTACTAAAAATTTTCTAAATTTCTAATTTTATGACTTTTTCAAAGAAATGCAATAAAACTAAGGTCACTGACTTAACGCCCGAATTTCCCAATTTTCCACGTTGGTACCTTTGCCCTACCATCAGTCATAGTACCTAATGCACACCATGCACTAATATAAATACAATCATCATTTTACACTAGACAGATCACTTACAATTCTTCCTTCGACAAGTCTATACTAAATCTCTGTCAAAAATTATCTCACTTTAAACCTATATCCAATATTAAATAACGAATAATATTAGCTAAAATACAATTGTTTTGTAAATTGAAAATTACTTGAATATATTCGTTAGAATACAACAGAAATATAAACATGTGTATTTTTAATACACATCTGTAAGGACTCCAAACTATTCCTCTTTATTTTATTACTCTTTTTAATATATGACCTTAAGTACTTGGATCAGTCAAAGGACTTTTTGATTTATTCAATATTATGCTACATACTGTAGACAACTGTAAATATGAACAAAGAAGCGAGGATTGGTTGTTTTTACTGTAGAGTAATGTTTAAGAACATTTTTTAGTTAGTCTTAGAATAGTCTCTGAAGGATACAGATGAACTTCTCAGCACAATCCGCTATCGTTAAATAAAGTATCCATATATTTTTTTCTAAACTACACAACAAATTCAGTCTATATTGAATTAATATTCCTTGACCATAATCCTGAATTTCCAACAATTATTGTTTGAATTTTTTAATAATTCACTCCAAATCGTAGTGTTTTATTTTAATGCACTTAAAGTGTTTTAAAATGATGTCACCCATTTGATTATTATTATTACATTTATGGGAAGATTTAAAGTTAAAAGTAAAAGTTGGTTTTCTTACTGCAGTATGAATCATGACTTTGCTTTAATCCCTAGTGATTGGATTAAAACTACTTATCGCTTGGATTAAGCAATTCAAGTTATCTTGAAAAACCAAAATCATGATGACATAAGGATATTACTATCAGCAAGTTTAGATATGTTACTTGAGCAAAAATATCAGAGATATAACTTGTAATTGAAAAATTCTTTAGATCTAGTTTTAATGAAGCTTTCCTGATAATTTTGTCATTTCGTGAAAACTAAAATGGGCAGTAAATGAGAAGGGATAGGATGGATGGTCAAAGTTAGCAAAAGTCTAGAGTTATGAAATGGAAATAGTTGTGTCCACCATTACATGTTATCATCTCATTTAAAAGTACTTTTCCTACATTTTGATAATGTATTGACCATCAGGAATGCTAGGTTCAAAGTAAAGAGATTTATTTTTTGTCTATTAAACTTTTGTCTCGCAACATCTGTTTAGTTTTTCCAATTACAATAATAAATTAATCATACTCACTTGAAGATAACGTTGAGCATGTCACCAAGAACACCGTTGTCTTGAAGATCAAATTGCGAAGTTTCACAAATGGATCTGAGGAGACATTCCTTTCCTGGAAACCCAAAACTAGCAAAAAATGGAATGAGAAAAATGTGTTAAATGAAAGTAAAAAGCAGAGAAGTAATAAAAGTAAAGGATTAAAAAAGTTTAAAAATAAAATTAAAAAATACTTCTTGTACGTATATGGTAAAATTGTTGTGTCGTTTGATCTTTTGGTTATCGCAAACTTGCTTTCGTGTTTTCTGACGAAAGATTTATATAAATACTTTTTCCCTTGCTCACTCGATGCAGGAAGAGTAAAAGCATAAAGACGAATAGAAAAAGGGTAGAATGTGCAAAGGACGTAATGCCATGTTTTCATCGAGAATTCGCGAAGCGTTAATGCAAACGGACTCACCCGTCTTTCAACACGTTTCTCAGCGTATATTTTATATAAAAAACATGTAAGGAAACATTTGAAAAGCTTCAATTATTTTTCAACTAAGTAAATTGAAAGTTAACTTGAACGAAATAAAAAGAGAACTCGTTATTTACCATCATTTTTCCTTTTTATTTACCTTTCAAATTTATTTCTGAATAATTCGAAGATTGTTACTCTGTCAATTGCACGCTTCCGACGTCTTTTATCTTTCCATTCCCAGAAGACTGTATCATTTACTGGCAATTCGTATGATGCTTCGAAAAAATAAGATAAAGAAACAGCTTTCTGAGGGTCTGGTAGAGGTACAGCTAATGCAAAAAAAAGCTAAAAAAAAGGTAAAACTTATTTGATTTTATATTAATTATTGAGAATGCAATTAAAATTAATTACTTACGCCCATAGAACTAAATTCCGGAAATGAAAGAGCTCTTATTGGTCGGTGAAGAATTTTCGAGAGTTCGGAATTGTTATTATCGTAAGAGCCGCTGGAGGTTGTTATTAAAATACTCAAAATAAATCTGAAATCAATAAAAATTAATTAGCGAAAAGTTTGATGGATTTTATTCGAATTGAACAGGATTAGAGAGGTAATAAGATTCTTTGAAATTTTAATGGGGTGTTTATTGTGACAGTCAAAAAAAGGATGATTAATTTAAAAACTTTTTATTCCTTGAATTTTTTTAAAAGATTGAATTACAGTTAAAAGCTGCGTAAGAAGCACTGCAAATATTCGTGTTTAATTTTTAATATATTAAAAGTGTTTTAATATGACGTCACCCATTCGATTAGCATAGCCCTATTTTTAAAACACTTAAAAACGTGTTAAATATGACACAATGCTAATTAAATGGGTGACGTCATATTAAATACTTATTGTATTCCCAATGATTGGACGATATTTTATTTAAATCTATTCATTTATTGTCAAATAAATAAGTCCATGATGTTACAGAGTATTGGTTGTATGAGCGATTTAGAAGATTTGAGTAGTTCAGATGATAGATTCTAAATACACTGTAAATCTCAGTTTTCCAAAATGCATTATTTTAATGCGGATAAGTGTGTTAAATATGACGTCATCAATTTTATTAAAATTGTAGTCACTTTTTACACACTTAGATCTGCGTTAAAAGTGACTACAATGTTAATCAAATAGGTGACGCCATATTTAACACACTTATCCGCATTAAAATAATGCATTTTGGAAAACTGAAATTTACAGTGTAAGTCTGAAGATATTGAAGAAAGAAGCTTTATTTGAAGGGCTGACTAGAAGGTCCAGGAGAGGGGATGAAATCTAGCTTGTAGGGTTAAAGAAAGTGTTTTTATGCAATAGAAAGATGGAGAAATCGGGATGAGTCCAAGGTTCGTATTTTTGAAATCAGAGATGATATAAAAAAAGATTGTCTGTGAAGGACTTGGAATGCACGTACAAACTGGGTTTTCCCTGTACAGAAATCTTAACTTTCTCAAACTATAAAACTAATGGTTCTTTAAAAATTTAAGTAGATAGGCAAGGTATATAACACACTTTTGATGTATTAAAATTAGAACACCAAGAGAAAACGTAAATCAACAAATAAAACATTGTATTAATGAATTTTAATAATTTTTGATGCATTAATAAATTGAAAACTTGATGAACAAAAAGTGCAAGAAGCGTTTTTAAACTTATTTTAATAAATTAGTACATTTTTTTCCATTTTCCTCTCATTTTTCCTACTTAAATTTTTTTTGGTTTTTTTTTTCTATTAAAGCACTTTAAACCTATAGTTTCATTATAATGGGGTTCATTTTGACCATACACTATCATTAGAGGAAAAGGTAGGATTATGGTCCAGTCTTTAATATGGTCCATTCGTTTATTTTGCTAGAGATAATTTAACAGACTATAATATAATTGAATAAAAGCAAAAAGTGATCCATTAAAGAGGTAGAATTGTGGGTAACTTTCTGATTCCAAAGGAATTCTAGGAATGACTGGACCAAATTTATTTAAACTTCTTTCAGATCTTCTCCGTTGTATTATCTTTAAAATGAAATTTGTCAGGAGTCGATATCTTCAGTGGTTCTCGAGATATCAAAAACGAAAAAAAACCTGACATACGAACGTCCAATTATACGTATGGACAATTGTACGCACGTACATAAATTTATTTTTAAACCTCCTACTATGCTTTCAAATGTCTCAAAATGTAAAGACATGATAAAATTACGAATTCCAAAAATCGACTCCATCACAATAACTTCCTAATGGCAAGTTAATAAATTAATATATACTAATAAAGTCCTATTAAGTTACGTCTCAATAAATTAATAAATATAAAATGCTTTAAGTGCGTTAGAGATACAATATAATAAACATGTTCTCACACACTCTACGTGCAGTCTAATTCTTTGTCCTATTTAAAATATGTAAAGATCACATTTTGTATATCTACAAAAAAAATTTTAAATAATTCTAATTGACTTCCTTATATTTATTCCAAATGACTTGGGTCAGATTTAAAAAAATGTAATTTTAATTAATTTGGCCAATAAATTTGATTGTTATTTAATTCCTTTCAATGGAAGACTTTTTTAATTCGATCAATTATTTTATTTGTTTGAATTTCGTAGTAAGTAAAATAAAATAATATCAATAAAAATAATTAATCGAATAAAAAAAAAATTAGAAACAATAATTATTTCTTTCGTCGCTTTTAATTAAGACTCGTTAGAAAATTCTATGGCCAGGTTATCCCAGGGCTTCGATCCATCTAAGGCCTGACTGGGCGTTATTATACTGCAGCTTCCAACTTTCTCACACTTGAGGGTAAGCCAGAGCCACAATCGATCCAAATTTATGAGAATCTCAGGATTCGGAGGGACCCAAGCATGACTGCTATTTGCATTTTTGCATTAAGAAAATCTCAGCTTGACTATAATCATCATCATCATGACTCGTTAATTTTTATTATTTAAAAAAATGTAAATAAACAACAATTATAATAATAATTAAGGTAATTATTCGGAAGTGGGGTCCACTCTATTTTTGGCTATAAAAAATCGAAAAATTATGATACAGAAATTTTTTTTTTTTCATTTTGTTTATTTTTACGGCGAATTTATGATAAAAAATAGAGCTAGATTGGAAAAACAAAATTTAAATCAGTTTTTGGTTCTCAAAAGTTGAAAAAAGGACAAATTTTTATGTTTAAATGCGCCGTAAAAAACGCATTAAATGAAAAAAAAAAATTCCTGTATCATAATTGTTCGATTTTTTATAGCCAAAAATAGGATGGACCCCACTTCCGAATAATTACCTAATTAAATAGATGACATCATAGCAACATAGTTCAAACGATTGAAATAACTTTCTAAGATTGAAAATAAAGTGGCCAATTTAAGTGTAAATGTCTCATGAAATTTTAAATTGTTCAAACAGTTTTCTGGTTGAAATACTGTTTCAAATACTAATAATAAACATTCCACCCTTTTTCCCCGCCTTTTGGGATTACCCTTGCTCTTTAATGAATTTAATTGTTTTCAAAAGATTTAACACAATTACAAAGCGTTATAAAGTGAGTAAAGATTCGTATCCATTTAAGTTTAAGTATCAGATCGATTGATATGAAACCGAGCCAATTTACCGTAAATTCAGATCATCAAGTTGATTCCTAGTATGCATGAGATTAAATGCGGGTTATACTAAATCCCTGTGCTAGGGTTTGGCCACGCTCTTTTCGAAAGTTCGCGGCGTAAGTAGATAAGCCGTTGATGGCCAGACCAAACGTTGGGCAAACCCAAATACCGCAGATGTTTTACTGGGAGATTTCACTTGTAATCATTACCCGATAGAAAGCAAGGAAGATTCGAGATATCAACTTTCAATTAAGCACCAAATTTATTGAGGGTTATATAAATTTATAGATCCATTTATGTTAGGTAGTAATGTCTATTTATTGATGTTGTATTGATCTAGAAATTATCAGGGATACAATGTGTGTTATAAAGATTGTTTAAACATGAAATTTAGTTAATTGTTTCGAGGAAATATTTCAGAAATTGGTACTTACAAGTTAAGCATTTTCGTAACTCCTCAATAGACTGTAACATGTGCAACTGGCATATTATTCTCATACTGTTCACGCTCGATAACGGTGTGCTGGTGTTAAGTAGTGAGCACACTAAAGCTATTTGGTCATAATCGTTTCAATTTCTCGCTGAAATAGACCTTTAACATACCTGAGAATTTTTTCAGTCATGAAAAAATTTTTATTCTTCATCCATTGCTGTACTATTTATATCTTGACGATCCTTTTATTTTCAGTAGACTTAACATTTTCCAAGAAAAATTATGATGTTGAAGTTTTATTGAGAAATAAACGCTATCTACTTTTTCCAAACCCATTAGAGAGTGAAACTAAAGTTCAGGTATCAACTTTAATTTTTTTTTTCATTCCACTTAATAAACTCTTCTTTTGATGTAAATTTTTACATTTGAATTCGATCACCAAGTTTTGAAACATTAAACAAAATTATTTCCACTTAAAAAGGAAGTATTTATATTAAAAAGAAAATTGCTAACATCAATAATATAACTTATCAAATAGTTCCGGTTTATGATTAAATTTATCATGATAGTCATGATGTAAAAATAGGTGAATTGAATGTTGATAAATGTTTCAGGTACTCTTTGGACTTGGATTACCAATGGAAGGTGAAGTGTCAACAATTCTAGGCTATGTTTTAAAATGTAACTACAACCTACCTTACAATTCATCAGCCATTACTCACCCATACATCAGATATCAACGTGATGCTATTAGAAGTGAACATAATCATGTCAGACCTATGTCCAGATGGGAATTTTATCGACTTCTGGAATCAGCTCTGGAGACCTTGGGCTCTGGAAAAGCATGCTTACTTCGAGCTATCTGTGAAGCTGCACAAACTTCTTTTGATGAAAGTAACGGACTCCTTGGAGAGCTTCTACATGTTATCCTGACACCTTCAAGTACCACAGAACATTCAGATGTTTATGAAGATCGAGAGTATTATGCTGCTGAATTTATTGGAAAGTTCTCAGAGGGTGGATGTCACTTTTCTTTTCCTGAATGCTTCACTGATCCATTGAGTTATTTCACCATATTTTAAAATGACTTTTATTTCAATTATTATTGTCTTGCCATTTGTATTTCTTTATGATAAATAAACCAATTTATCTCCAACACATCAATGGTTTTGCTTTTTTATTGAATTATTCCTTTGAATTATTTTTTAGTTGTAACGAATATTTTTTCACTAAACTTTTTAACTGAATTTTTATTCTATCCTGTAACTTGTACCTAGATGAGAAATATAAAAAGCACTTTTCAAATATCAATAGGAAATACATGAATACTAACTTTGGAACTTTAGTCTCAAGACAGTTTAGCATTTACATATTTTCTTAAAGTTTTAAAATAAAATTTTCTGAAATTCTTTTACACTAAAGATAATACGAACAATGGAAATCTGTTCGTTGAACATAAAAATAAATGGACTGAATCGTTGAAATCGATTAAACGAGCTTTTATAATTTTTAAATGGTCTGTAAATGACTATAATAAAATGATGATGAAGCATTTATCAGGAGTAATAATATCCTGAATGTTCACATTTATTTTCATGCATTATTTTACATTTATTTACCTTCAAACACTGATGATAGAGAGATTTTATAAATTGCTTCTCTTTTCTCCTTACTTCTTTCGAGCATGTCGTTGAAATTCTCTGTTAATTAGGATGCTCAGCAGAGTGATTAGTTGGTTTACCACTTACTCTCTCAAGTAAGCCATCAGTTTTAGTAAATAAGAGGTAACGAACACTCCAATGTATTGCATTTCAACAGAAATGACTCCATTATTTAAATATAACGACATTTGGGTATTTTGTTCCTTGTTTTTAATGAGTAGTCTCAGCATGACTGAAATAAATGCCAAGTCTGAAGGACGATATTTGGTGCATCCACCAAGGAGTAATTTTGCAGATACCAAAATGCAGGTATGATCAATTTTAAAGTAATAACTATTTTAAATAATAGTTTTAATGAAAAATTAATCAATTAATCTCCAAGATGTTGGCAAATAAAATTAAAACTTTGTCTAAGAATTAATTGATAAATTTCGTTGAAGACTTGAATCAGAATGGCTTCATTTACATAACATTTTAATTTCCAAAATGAAAACTTTATTCAGGAAATTCAAATTATTGAATACAATAGTGCTTTTTAAATAGTTATCTCTAATTTTGGTATCTTTCCTATAAGGAAATATTTTTTGCTCTCTCGTTTCTGAATGTTTCTTCTTCACTTTTCGATTGTATTTACTCTGGTGAGAAAAAACAGTTAGGATACGAGACTTTTCTGAAATTCGATAATTCTTATGACTCACAAACTTAAATCTTTAGGAATAAAAAAAAATTTACTGTAAATTAAAAGACAAACTTTTGTCACAAAAGTTGATGTAATTATTTACTAATAAGAAAAATTGTAAATAATGTCATTGAACTATTCTTCAAGAGTTTTGAATACTGTTATTTTTGAAAAGATAACAGTTCACCCAAATTTATTCTTACAAAACTCAATTTTATTTTTGATGTCATTCTTCTGATTACATTTTTAAAAAAATTTGAATATAAAAAATGAACTGTCGAGATTTATAATAAAAAATTTTGTTTGTTTTATTTATTAATTGTTAATTAATAGATAAAAATTCCAACGTTGATTTTAATAAGTAGATAATAAATATTAAAGCAGAAATTCTCTAAATATTATCAAAGATCAGAAAAAAGTAATTTAATGGATATCCTATCAATACATGCTCCGATATTTTATATATATTTTTAATTAATTAATTAATTATCACACGCAAGTCCAACGTATGACACAAGTTTTTTGACTATATATAGTTTACAATGAGGCATCACTTATTTAATTAATTTAAAATATATAAAATATTGGAAGATATTTTTATTGGATATCATTTTTGATCGTTTTTGTCTTAGCTTTAAGAACATTTAGAAAATTTTTTATTTAACATTTAATGTTTATTTAATATCTAGTTAAAAAAATTAACGTTTAAATGCTTATTTGTTACTTAATAATTAAATAATCAATTATTGTTAATACGAAAAATTATTTATTTTCTAAATTAAAGTAAATGCAAATGCTTATGTCAAAGAGAATCACAATTATTCAAACAATAGTTCATTAAAAAGTTTCTAAACTCTATCAAGAAGATGAAATTAAATTTATTGTATTCAATACATGATTTTTTTATTTCACTTTCCCATCTATTAAAACTCATGACTTACTGTCAGGCAAACAGATACAATTACAAAAACCGTTCGTTTGAATATAATTAAATATTTATAATATATTTTTTTTATAAAATTATAGAGATTACCATTCAATATTAATAATAACAAAGAAAATTTTTTTAAATTACCGTAACAAATACCACAAAACAATAATTAACCGTTTCATTCGTGCACTGATTAGTCAATTTTATTTTTAAATTGTCGAAATGAATAAAAATAAAAATTAAATAATTTTTTACATTGTTGATTTGAGACAACATGCGTTGTATTTCTAGAGATATTTTATTTTCAATATTCTCATCAACATATTATTTTAACAAAACAATATATTCAGTTATTGGTAAATAATTGATTGATTTTGAGCTTGAAAAAAATTCTATTGTTTAGTTTGATAAATGTTACATAAAATTACAGAATTATTTACTGTTTCTGGTGTGCTGAATTTGAATAATCAACAATCAATATAAATATGTCTTAATAGAAGTGAAGTCTGATATTACATGAACAAGTATAATAGTAACTGACATTAATGTTGAATAATATGATGATTTTGAACAAACTTTCTATGTTGTTATTTACAATTGCATAATAAAAGCAATGAAAATCAGCAATGGAAATTGATAAATTCACATGACTAGATACCCCATCACATTGCACGTCAATGCCAGAAATGAATGTTAGAGTGATGGGTGCAGGTGAATCTGGTTGAATTGGTTGTCAGTATAGATTTATCACGTAGTTTTTATTGTTATTTTTACTTCTGCGTTTCTAAAATAAAATGTTTTTATTTGTGTGTTTTTATTTACATTTACTCGATTCCTATTTTTCATTTTCCCATTTCAATTTTCAGCTGATCATGGGTCTAGGTTTACCGATGGATGTAGATGTCAGTACAATCATCGGATATGTCATTAAATACAATTATCTTTTGCCAACCAATGCTTCGCTGTTAACAGAGCCTTATATTCGGTATGAAAGATCAATTCAAAGCAGAATTCAATCAACAAAACATTCAAATAATCGAGATGGTGAGTAAAAAAATATTGACTTTTTTTAAAGTGGATTGTTTTCAATTGAATAGGAGCTTTTCTGCTGTGTCAAAGTCTCGCTAGGCTTTAATCAGGTTTCAAATAGGGCCTGTAGAGGTCGGAATTAAATAGTTGGAATAAACAAAGACGAATTAGGGCTTGAAGAGGGCTGAAAGAGGATTCAGGGACTTGATTTTTGAAGTGGAACTAATTTATTGGGATAATTATGTTCTGTTAAAGATTCTTAAGAATATTGATGTAAGATCTATAAAAATCTACTTGATTCTTATGTTAAAGTAAATAACAATTTTTAGGATTTTAAATAAATCTGGTAAAAATTAAGATCAATGATATTGGAAAAAATTGTGTAATACGAATTGCACATTAGGGAGATTTAAATTTAATTGTTATTAATAAATGTATACTAATTGATAATAAATGTTAAATAATTTTATTTTAATTCAGTTTTTTTCAATTTGCTTCAACAGATGATTTTTGATGTATATTAATTTTATTCTTTATCATTAGAGGAGAGTAATTAAATGTTAGCTGGTGCTTTAATATGGGCTAGCAACAATTACAACAATTGTTTAATGCTCAATTTAATAATATATTATAATATTAAGAATATAAGATTGTTATTTAGTTCGAGCATCTTTAAAAATGTATGTGTGATTATTTTGACGTCAATAAATGGTTAATTTTCTGATAGTTACTTATTTTTTAGGCAAAAACAAATGGTAGTCCATATTTGGTTACTTTCCTCTATGATGAATGTGATGGATTTCGATATGAACTCCAAATCAATTTTTTGAAAGTTCAGAAAATATAAGAATCTAATACATTTTATTTGAAAATAAATAAGAAACAATATATTTTGTCATCGGAAAATCTTACATAAATATCAGATGATAAGAAACTTAAAGGAACTTGTATAATAGTGATGAACTTGGATTTTTTTAAAATTTTTTCTCTAAGAAGCTGTTGACAGACATGAGAAACATACACGATTTTTCTAAAATAATACAAGAACCCAACTAGAGAAAAAAACTTTTTTATACCTATATGATGTTTTTTTAAGTTAACTATTAGTTTTTCAAAAATTTATCAAAAAGATGTCCATGAGGATGAATAAAATGATGTCTACACGAAAAAAAATTTCTATCTAAAATGCAAAATGACGTCCAAAAAAAAGCCAAAAAATTCTCTACACACTGTAAATCTCAGTTCTCCAAAATGCATTATTTTAATGCGGATAAGTGTATTAAATATGACGTCATCCATTTGATTAACATTGTAGTCACTTTTAACGCAGATCTAAATGTGTAAAAAGTGACTACAATGTTAATCAAATAGGTGACGCCATATTTAACACACTTCTCCGCATTAAAATAATGCATTTTGAAAAACTGAAATTTACAGTGCACAGATAAAATTTTCGAGCATTCTTTACCAGTAGATTTAGAGTAAAATTTACTAGCCAAAAAAATTAAAAATTGCTAGTTTTTTTTTTAATAAAAAAAGTTACAACATTTAAGAAAAAGTACTATTCTGGTTGGTAAAAATTTCTAGAAAAAAACTGAAAAATTTCAGAAATGTACCCGAATAAAAATGATCAGTTTTTGGGCACGCCTAAAGGAGACCCAATTCAAGCCCAAAAATATTTTCGAGGCCTAAAACACGCCTAATCCAAGCCCAAAAATATTTTTTAGGCCCAAAACGCGCTCAATTCAAGCCCATTTTGTAAGATCATATTCGACAATGATG